ACAGCACAAATACGATTTTTTCCCTCCTCTTTAACACAAAATATATGTTTGTACTAATATAATTCAGTAAAAATAAATGTTCTGTTAACCCGAGTTCATAATCTGAATAGATGGATAAAAGTTGGAAATTTAAATTGGTCAAAGAAAATAGATGGGATATTTATTTAGATATTAAAAAATTTTAGATATTAAAAAATTTATCGGAATTTAGTTGGAATATTATATGGAATTTTCTCTAAATTTAATCTACTATATTAAGATTTAAATAGTTATAGTGTGCGAAATGGAATAAGAGAAGAGTATATAAAAAAATTTTGTTTGTAAGCTTTTGTCTTTTGATAATATAAATATCATACATTAAATCGAACTATATTAGGGTGGAACAAATCATGGTAACCTGAAACTTGAGTATATCTCTATTTACATACGAATTCAACATTTTTGTAATACAATTATTCGAATTTGTGGCTTTTAGATATTCGATATTTTGAAAACAATCAGAAATTTAGATTTCCAGACCTCTTGTATCCGAATCAAGACCTCCTCCCATACAAAATTTTGCTTTATTAATCTACACAAGTTAATCGAGATGAGTATGGGAAGCCAATTTTGCAGAATGTTCGTACGAATTTTGTAATCGACAATCGGGAGGAATCCAAGCCAGTGGTCCCATGAAGCTTGTACGATGATTGAGATATTTACTACATGTATAGCTGCGAACATTATGTGGATCTACTGACCAGATCTTGATGGTTTTATCGAAAGAAGATGTAGCTATCTTCGAATCGCAAATACAGGTGCAACAAACCTGAAGGAATATAGATCTTAGATTGTTAGCATGAATCGCAAATATGAACAATACACAATGAGTTTACAATGTATTGTTCTCCATTTGAATTATCGCTAATCGAGATCTAGAACAAGCTAAATCACATGGAAAGCTTACTGTGGCAGTGTGACCTCTAAGTTCACACCGGAGACGGTACAAATTGCCGGCCATGAGACTTGTCGACTCGCAAGAAAGAAGAAAACGGATTTCTGATAAGGAAAAAGAGCAGATCACAAGAGTGAAGAAGAGAAAGGAATTGAAGGAAAGAGGTAATGTTGTTTTCTTTGATAGATTTTTTTTGTTTTTGCCGTGTTTTCTTTGATACATAAAAAAACTCTAAGAAATGAGAAAAATTGCAAACAAACCCGAACAATCTTTGTTTCACTGAAAAAGACCCAACTAAAACCTCATGTTTCGATTTATTGCAAATTAACCCATGAACCCTAACACCGTCAAATGAGTAACGGACGGTAAAATGCGCTTCTTTTTTTTTGCCAGCACCCATGAACACTAACACTGTCAAATACGGACGGTAAAACACGCAGTTTTATTTATTTTAAAAGACATCATTTTATACTTGGGTTAATTAGTTGAATATTACTTATGGGAGACAAAATTGAGTAACTAACATGTCAGAAAATAAAATTAGGTAAGTAACAGAGAGAAATAAATTAGGACGAAATTGCCCCTACATATTTAATTAAGGTAAATCGGAAAACAAATCCCTAAAAAATTATTTTTTTCATCTCTAGTTTTTTTTATCTCTGAAAAAGTAGATCTGCTCTGCAAACAAAATAAAATTAGGTCAAAAATACAAAGAAGATGACAAAAAGATAAATACGCTATAATAACTATTTAATAACATAGTACACTATTTTCGAAACTATTGATCTGAAAAAATAGTTAACTATCTGACTTTATTTTGTAACTAAATCATAGTTAACTACTTTTCATAAAAGAGTTACAATTTAGAAAACATAGTTAACTATTTTTAGATCATAGTTGTCTAATTTACGAATAACATAGTTGACTATGTGAAACATTTATTATAATAGTTACTTATTAAAAAAACATAGTTAACTATATGTTCATAAGTACCTATTGTAGTTTGCATATTGAAAAATAACATATATAGTTAACTATTATCGGAAATATAATAAAAAAGAATAACATACATAGTTAACTATTATAAGAAACTTTACCTGATTTTCAAACATAGTGAACTATTATCGATCTCTAGCCTCAATTTGACGTGGAGATTGAACGACAATGAGGATTTTAACGGAGGAGAAAAAACACAATCTTAATCCATGGTTAGAGAATTTCGATCCATGGCTAGAAAATTTCGATCCATGGCTACGAGATAAGACAAAGTGATTGAGAATTGATTTTGTGGATCACTGGAGAGAGATGAGATTGGATATGATGTTTGTGT